CCCCAAAACCCCAAAACCCCAAAACCCCGATAGTCAAATTATTTGATTATTATACTTATTAGATAGTTATATTTAAATAGCTTTAAGCGTCATAAATATTAGTTTTGAACTAAGAGATGATAGTATATAATTATAGTGGAAAGAGAAGTAGGCATCATTGAGTCCAGACTCAGTATATCTAAGATTCATCCTAATCAAATTCATTTCTAAACGTCTTAGCTTGAAAATTCCTCTTCGATCTCTTTCCTCTTCTATCACTTGATTTCATACTACTACTTTGAATCTCAGATTTTCCAGTACCACTACTTTTATATCCTCCATCGATATTTGTATCGTTATCTGGACTATTCTTAGTCGAACCAAGCATGAAATTTTCATGCTGTTGATTATGATTACGATTAAAATGCTTGCTACTTTCATTTTAGTTATCACTACTACCCATAAACGGATGTTTTATGGAGTTCTTAGATTTTTCTACATTTTAGCCATGCAATAGAGGCCATTAAAGCTGTTTGCGTGCTTTTCCAGTAATATGTATTTCCTCATTCCCATCCTTATGTATAATGAACTCATCATAATCTGAGTCCTATGGTTCTTGGTGAACTGAATTAGTATTTGTATTATTTAGAACACTCATTGCCTTTTGTAGATTTTTTCCAGCTAAAGTCTTTCTCTCATATCTATTATTTCCTGATTTTTACAATGCTTCCTCAAATTAAACATTAGGATTACTTCCATTTACACCATTATTATTGCCTTGACCTTTCAACTAGCCCTCTCTGCTTGTTTTTCCAGTTTAGATTCCATTTAAAAAATTCTAACCGATGATTTATGAACCAACACTAATTAGCTTTTCTTATAATTTACTTTCCTTATTAGTCTTTTCCATGAAATCTTTGAATTCCAAATCACTCAAGTTCTCCTTTTCAAACTTCCTTTTATTAGTGAATACTTTCATTAACTCATTGATTTTTTCCTCAGCATCATTTAAAATCTTTTTATATTACTCAGCTTTATTTTAGTTACTCATCTTGTCATGTTACTCCATGACTCTCTTAGTATATTTCTTGATCTTTACCTCTTTACTTATAGCAGATTATAGGTGATGGTACCAGCTAACCAATTCATCCTAAGACTGGAATTTAAATTGAAAATTCCTTAGATGAGTCTAAATAACTAATCCAGAAAAATCAGGTGGCTTTTTAACCATGACATACCCTCCTTCTAGTGGGATGACGTTTACAATGTGAAAATACTCAGGGTCTCTAGCAATAATCAGTTGTGAGTATCCCAGAAGTAAATATCTTTTCTCATAGCCTACAGATTTGTTCTTTTTCATCACACATGCCTTAGCAATGCTCTTTGGAGGTAACACAAAATCATCCATTATAAATCTATATTTCAATAAATAGACTTAAGGTCTTACTTGAGATCTAGACTTGTTTTTACAGCGATGTCCATTATTCCGCTCTTCTTTGATAAGTTGTGATTATCTGGATTATTTATTCCCTTATTTTTGTCATTTTAAAATCTTATCTCATCAATGGCAAGATTTATAATCTCCACAATAAAATCTCTTTGCAATGGGAAGTTCGCATAATATGTGATAGGCTTGTCATTATTGAACTCAATGAAAAACTCATCATATTTATATCCCTTTACAACTTTCTTTATCATTGAAAAGTGATATGATCTGCAAATATGATCCTTGTAACGATCATTCATAACATTTTCGACAAAATTTAACTCTAGCATCCTATACTATAGTTTATTTAACGCTAATAAATTTTTACATCATTACTCTCTATCACACTGAATATCATGAAAGGATAGATATGACCGTCCTTAAGAGCTGCTTTAACATTTAGGTACTAAGAGACTAATGATCTGAGTCTTATCATGTTGATGTATTTGTTTCTCTCTTTTTCTTCAGATAAAAATCGATAAGCTGTAATTATGCTCTTTAATTGAGAAATATAGTTCTTGACAAAGGAATTTGATCCTTGTTCGGTTGATGTTCTTTTCAGTTCAGTATGAATTTTGGAAGTTATAGAGAGATAGTTACTAAAAATGAGATTACTATTTAGAGAAAGACAATCTGATTACTTACTTCCTTATTTCCTCCTCAGTGCTTTTAAAGTCAGCATTAAGTTGGCAAAAGTAACCAACTTCCGCTTATTGCTATCCATCCTCTGAGTCATCCTATTTTATCCTTGCTAAAAGTTAATCAAGAGACCAAAAGTCAATTTGATTGTCAACGGCAGCAGCTTAACTTGAGTCTATTTGATTTTAATAATTTTGATTTTTCTGTTAGTGTTTAGTTTACTATGATTCAATATCATTTAAAGGGTGAATACTTGAAACATCAGGGAAACTAGGGGCCCCTCCTCTTGGGTTGTAAGTAGCTGCAGAAGGGTTATTTTATGATTTAGAACTAGAGGGCTGTTGAAGATTATTAGAATTAGGAGTAGTTGATTGTTGTTTCATTTTAAGAATATAAATAAATAGAACTATATTATATTGACTTCAATAAATAATAATTAATAGGGGAGAAAAATAGGTATAGGAAAGATTTTTAGAATTTAAGAGCTTGTAGCTATATTGACCACAAACAATGAGGATGGTTTCTCTCATTTCTTCTGCTCGGCCTCCTTTTCTGCTTGCTCTCTGGCTCTCTTCTCTCTCTTGCCAATGAATTTCTTGTTGACTTGGAGTTGACGAATCTTTCTGAAGACTCTGAGGTCTTTTTGGTCCTTGGTAATGGCTTGAGGGGCTTGTCTGAGTCTTGGAGCTGGTTTCCCGAGAACGTGCTTGGCGGTGTTTTGTTGGGCGGCCTCAGCGGATTTAAGTCTCTCAGCGGTGGAATCGTGGATATCTCCCTTCTTTGGCTTGTCGGCTCTTCTTGGGAACAGAATCAACTTGCTCTTGTAACTCTCAAGTCTCTGCACGTTCAATTGAAGACCCTCTTCTGAGACGTCTTGTCTTCTGTGATCGACAGCAATACCAACAGTTTGAGCGAATCTTGGGCTGATCTTGGCTTGTCTCAACTCTTGTAAAGTGAAGCCTCTTCCGTATCTTAACTTGGAATTGTACTTTCTAGTGGAGCCATGAACCACTGGTCTAAGCTTCTCGAGGGGTCTTGGGAAAACTCTGGCAGCCTTGGCTTGTCTTGCTAGTGATCTTCTCTGTTTTCTGGCTGGTTGGTTGAACCATGTCTTTACGAATCTCTACCAGTGCTTACGGAGATGGGTGTTAGGAAGTTAATAATTGTGCTTAACCATCTTGGCAATTAATATATTCAATAATAATCGATGTATGATATCCTTAATTTATATTTATTAAGAATTCCTCATTCAGCCTCAAACACATATATAGGTACTATTGGGGTTTTGGGGTTTTGGGGTTTTGGGGTTTTGGGGTTTTGGGGTTTTGG